GACCAAAATGCTGGCTTGCATCCATAGATGCTTCTCAAGCAAATCCCGGGACGTCATTCTCCCCCTGTACTCGGCCTTAGTGAGGCCGCAGCTGGAGTACTGTGTCCAGTTTTGGGCTCCACAATTCAAAAAGGATGTGGAGAAGCTTGAGAGAGTCCAGAGAAGAGCCACGCGCATGATCAGAGGTCAGGGAAGCAGACCCTACGATGACAGGCTGAGAGCCCTGGGGCTCTTTAGCCTGAAAAAGTGCAGGCTCAGGGGTGATCTGATGGCCACCTACAAGTTTATCAGGGGTGACCACCAGTATCTGGGGGAACGTTTGTTCACCAGAGCGCCCCAAGGGATGACGAGGTCGAAAGGTCACAAACTACTTCAAGACCGTTTCAGGCTGGACATAAGGAAGAATTTCTTTACTGTCCGAGCCCCCAAGGTCTGGAACAGCCTGCCACCGGAGGTGGTTCAAGCGCCTTCATTGAACACCTTCAAGATGAAACTGGATGCTTATCTTGCTGGGATCCTATGACCCCAGCTGACTTCCTGCCCTTTGGGCAGGGGGCTGGACTCGATGATCTTCCGAGGTCCCTTCCAGCCCTAATGTCTATGAAATCTATGAAATAACCCTTTCAAAAAATCCCGTCCAGCACATTGGTGAGGCAGGATTTCCCTTTAAAAGAACCATGCTGACACTTCCCCAGCAGATCATATTTGTCTGTGTAACTGTTGATTTTATTCTTTATTATGGATATAGCAATTTGCCAGCGATGGAAGTGAGTCTCATTGGTCTGTAGTTTCCAGAATCACCTCTGGAGCCCTTTTTGAAGAAGGGTGTTATGCTGGCACCCCACTAGTCCTCTGACACACAGGCTGTTTGTAACAATTGGTTATATACTGTTGCCAGCAATTCTGCAGTTTTGCCTTTGAGTTCCTTCAGAAATCTCGGTTGAATGCCGTGTGGTCCTGGTGACTTACAGGACTTAGTTTATTGATTTGTTCTAGCACTTCTGGTCAGTTCAATGTGGCCCAATTCTTTAGACACATATACTAGGAAGGAATGATCTAGCATAGGAGTTTCCCCAGTATTTTCTGTAGTAAACAGTGATGCAAAGAATTTGTTTAGCTTCTCTGCTGTGGCTTTATCATTCCTGAGTGCACCTTCTACACCTTGGTCATCTAATGGCTTCTGGTCATTTAATCAAAAATATGAGAGAGGAGCTAATGGAAACACTGCAGATTAAGTTGTGAAAGGTTAGTTGAAATCCAGTGATATTTTTTCTCACTTCCAGGCTACAAACTGACATTGCATTTGTCCCATGATAAATCACTTTATCCCAGGACAAAGGGAAGTCATTCAGATGTCCATGTCTGTTTTCCTAGGATAACTCCTAAAAAGGTTCACAAGATAAAGAGTGCTATCAGTTTATCCCAGAAAACTAAAATGCACATGCAACCAGTTACCCCTGGATTGCATAAATGAATCAGTGGTAGAAAAGCAGCAGTGCATTTAGCTGTCCACTAAACTTTGATTAGAAGGGCAGTGTGTGCATACATCAATCAAGCCCTGGATATTTCCATTTTGGTACAAACACAGGTACACCCTCTTGAGAGACAAATGAAATACCTGTTCCTAGCCCCAGAGACAGAGAGGACAGTCAGGTCCCAAGAAGAGTTGGTGTTGTGTTGTTCTGTAGTGACATCTGCTGGCTGCCGCATTGACACTGAAGGGAGTTGGAGTCTGGCCCTGGAAGTTGAGGAATAGCCTCAACTGGCCCTGTGGAAAATAGAGTTTAAGGATGTTCAGCATCTCGCTAAAGGCATCCCTTTCAGAATGGGAACTAAATTTCTTCAGCTGCTCTTGGTAAATGTAGAGGAATCTTAAGAGGTTCAAAGTTATATCCCTTCCTGTCCCCTCTACTTGATTTCATTCTCTCTTTCTAATCTAAATGAATTTTTTCTTAAACCATGTCCTTCCCTTTTGCTCCATCTATTCCCTTTCAGGCCTTGCAGAGAAGCAGCATTGTGGCTGATTGCCTGGGTTGGAACTTTTGGTGCCTCTTTTTCTACCTATATCCCTTCATTTCTACAAGAAGCTCAACTTTCTGTGGTAGCCCACCACCAGATCTGTCACAAGAACTCAGCAGAGCTGAGAGAATTTCACTCTCTCTTGCATCTTTGCATTACAGGTGATGCAGAAAACACTGCACACCTCTGAATTCAGGCTTCCTCCTGAAGTATGTGGTCTCTGCTGGCAGAACCTGCCAGACTTGTTGGTTCACGATAATGGATTGATTTTGAAGATTTTTACCAAAAGCAGGGAGGTGATTTACCAAACCTATCCAATACCTGAGCCGAGTTTCAGGCTGGCTCATACTTCAAGTAAAACAAATTGTCCATTCCAAGTAGATTTGTGTAGCCTAAGCAAAGCCTCATGAAAGGTGGCTTTGATTGATGCACTCCGCTATTTAAGATCTAGATTTCACATTCAACAGTGAAACACTGCATGGAGTTAGCATCAGTTGTACATCATTTCATCATATTGGTGATAGGTACAGTAACAAAAGCAAACCACCAGAAACGTGTTTCACAGTGAAGTGAAGTCCAGGTTCTCACCTGGTATAAACTGATATGTGTCTGTTGACTCCAGCAAGGCTACACAGATTTACATCCCCTGTAATGTTATTTTAATATTATGGTAGATACAACATGAATAAGCTATCACAGGGTCCTCTCCACCTTGCACTGGGTTATATTTAGTACTTACCAGAGACACCACTGTTTGGGATGGACAGACAGATGAGCTAAGCAACTTCAAATGCAGCAGGGTTGTTATGTTTCTCTTTTATATGTATGTCTGGAAAGAGAAATTCAGTTTCATCCAGGTGAATTTAAATGTCTATGATCGAAAACCTCATTAGCGGGGATTCAGACCTCTAGTCTTTCCTAGTTTGCTTATGGTAAGAGAGAATTCTGAGCTGCATATTTTCAAAGTTCTGCCTGAAATCCCTTTTTTGGTAGTCATGCTGGAAAACTACTCACCCAAATCCAAGACCATGAATTTAAGGTGACTCCCTAGTAATTGGATTCTATACATGGAAAACTATAAATGTGTTGTTTTCCAAGTATAGAATCTAATCATTGGAGAGTTGTCTTAAATTCCTCCCTCTGTCTACCACTGTGGTGGAGAAAGCAGCAGCAGGGTGAAAACAGCCTTCCCCACCCCTCCACTCCCAGACTACTTGCTCTCCCCCAGGGCCTGCCACCCTGCCACCTGTCTCCTCCTGCCACTGCCTTCTCCTGGTGCCTGGTATACCACTGGCAACTTTCCCCACAGCATCACCACTTACTCTGTGTAGTGGCTCTGGCTCCAGTTTTGGCCTGGGGCATGGAGCGTTCACTGGCTTCAGCCCCAACCAGGCAGCAGTGGCAGCAGCAGCTCTGACCCCCTCCCTGCGCCTGGGATGAGGCAGGAGCTGGAGCTAGAGCAGGGATGGGCAAAATACAGCTTGTGGGCCAGATCCGGCCCACCAATTGATTTGATCCGGCCTGCAGCTGCCCCTGAAACACTTTGCCTGGGGTCGAGGATAGCCCGCATTGTGCCTGCCAGCACGCCCAGCTTCTGGCAGAGCTGTTCCTGGTGCAGCTACAGCTGCCTAGGTGCTTCTCTGCTCCCCTCGCCTCCAGCAGCAGCTCCTCCTCCTGCTCTTGTCATGCCGCTCTGGGCCAGGAGGAAGCTTCAGCCAGGCGGCTTCTGCCCTAGTGCACAGAGGATCAGCTCCAGTTCCTGGCCACCTTCCACCCACTGGGCTGCCTGTGCCAGGTGTGTGAAAGGCAGCCAGGAGCTGAAGCTGAAGCCCTGCACACTGGGGCAGGAGCCACCTGGTTGAAGCTTCCTCTCAGCCTGGAGTGGCACAACAGGAGCAGGAGGAGGAGCCATCACTGGAGGTGAGGATTAGAGCAGCACCCAGGAGACTGCAGCCATGCTGGGAGCAGCCCCACCAAAAGCTGTGCATGCTGGCCAAGGCTGGGCCAAGGGGTGTGGGCTATGCCAGGTGGTAGTGGCCAGGGCTCAGCTCCATGCAGAGTACCACAGTGGCAGCCATGGACCACACTGGGCAGACAAGCTCTGCTGCATGTGCCCCCTGCCCCCTCCTCTTTCCCCTCATCCCAGGCTGGCTCCCAGGACCTAGTGCCCAGGCAGCCCCCATACACACATGTGCACATGCCCCCTACAGGGCAGGGAACACATCACGACCTCACTCCATGATCCCAGGCTTGCCCACCCATCTTGCTCCTGAATACCGCTCCCCACCCACTCATGGCCCCATCCCACATAGGGAGTTTTTGTGGTTGTTGCAAGGTGCTGGGATGGTGCTGACCCGGCCCATGAAAACTCATCAAAACTACCTATGTGGCCCTTGAGCCCAAATAATTGCCCACCCCTGAGCTAGTCAGAGCTACAGCAGCTCCCCTGTTGCTGCATAGTCTCCCTTGGGCTCCCCCAGGACTATATACTGCACAGTCTCCCCCACTCCTCCACCCTTGCACCATGTCTCCCCTGCAGCCGCCCCCTGCAATATGTGGTCTCCTTCCCTTCCTCCGACTGCACAGTCATTCCCCAGCTTGGGGACAGAGCTGGAAATACAGCAGCCACCTGCCCCAGGTGGTACTCGAATCCAAGACAAGGCTTTTTTCCACAAAGAACAGGGAGAAAAAATGTCCTCTTGGGTTTGTTTCAATACAGTAGGTTATTTACTCATTTGATCTTCTGGTCCCACTGAGATCAACAGGAGTTTTTTTTATTGACATCAGTAGAAGCAGGTTTCGGGCCTTACCTTTATCAACATCCCATGTATAAACATTCAGTGAACCCCTTTAAGGAACCGTGCTGGTGGATCTCTTTTTTTCTTAAGAGCTAGTATAAATATGAGTCACAGCCATTTTCTTAGAACCAATCTAGCAATTAAGCCTGAGATATTCAGAACTCTGAACAACAGATTGGGCCCTCCTTTCTACCTCCTTAATATACAAGAACAAAGGGACATTTGGTGGAATTATAAAGCCATAAAGTTGGAACTTAATAAAATAATTGTCATTCCATGTGGTATAACTAACCTGGAAAATTCACTGTTAAAAGAGGCTGGATTTAAAGAAGAGCTAACACATTTATGATTTTCAGTAGTCTGTATAGTTATGCAAGGTAAGACTGATTGTAGCAAACAAAACTCATGCTTTGTAGCTTAAACTGATGTCCGCAGCGAGTGAAAAAGGAATTCTTCTGTGTCTGTCTGTGAGTAATTGACCCAGCACAACAGGGAGGAGTTTTGGTTTCCTTTAAACTTCATATATTTAGGAATTGGCCAACCCAGAGCAGTAGTATAACATGGGGCAAGCAAGGTACCAGCCCCAGGTGCCAGCTTAGTAGGGGCATTAGAATTGCAACCCCCTTCCCCCCATGGAGTCCATGCCCAGGCAGTGGAAGCAACCCTATGGAGTTGCCTTTGAAGCAGCAGCCAGATGCACAGACACCACACTGCTGCTGTAAGAGCAATAGCTGGGGTGGGAAGATGCTGTGGCTGTGGCAGCAGGAGTGGGAGAGTCCTTGGCATAGGTAAGACTCTGCCTTTCCTCCTCCCCTCAGAATGCCTTCCCCTCCGGCACTCAACAGCACCTCCCTACCCTGACCTTCCTGACATCCCACCTTTCCACAGAGGGCAAACCCTGCTTGTTATGCCTCTTACTCAAAGGCGTATTAACCAGTGGCCAGGTTCAATATGGGAAATCCAAAGGAACATACCAACCAATGCTGTCATCGCTCTATGCCTTTAGCATAGATCTGACACTTCACTCCAGCTAAGGATTCACCCTTTGTTCTTCTTCATATACATAGCAATAACATGCACAGTGATATCTTTCAAATCAGGGGAAATGAATGGATTCCACTGGGTGTGATCAACACAGACAGTTTCCCAATGCCAGAACTTTGCCAATGCATTCAGTCTAAAAGGGTACGATTGTCACACTTACAGTGCTCAACGGAATTATTAGAAATCTGACGTGGCAACAAACCCAATCTCTGCATTTCTTTCCACCTGCTTCTACAGAAACCATATGTTTGCAAGATACCAGGCTGCACAAAACGCTATACAGACCCCAGTTCTCTCCGGAAACATGTGAAGACTGTGCATGGCCCTGAGGCTCATGTCACCAAGAAGCAGCGTGGAGATATCCATCCAAGGCCTCCACCGCCCAGAGACCCAGGCAGCCATTCACAGTCCAGATCACCAGGCCAGCAGACTCAGGGTGCAATTGGTGAGCAAAAGGACCTCAGCAACACTACCTCAAAGCGTGAAGAATGCCTCCAAGTGAAAGCTGTCAAGTCAGAGAAACCAATGGTATGCACTAGGCTGTGCTGTTTTCTTTCTGCCTCTCTACTGTCCCAATCAGTTAATAATTATTTTATTAAATACTTCAGCATGTAAACTCAAGAGCAGACTTTTTTTGACAAAGAAAAATGTTCATGTTACAATAATTTTAAATGATAATGCTTAAAAAGATTACATTTAGGTAGTGCAATCTAAACTAAGTGTAATACTGGAATCTCTCACAAGATTTGTTTTTCTTAAATCTCCATCTCTTGGAGTTAGCTTATTTAAAGGAAATTTCAGCTTTCATTGAAAAGTAAGCTTCCAACTATCTCATTTGCTGGAGAAAGGCCTTGAAGGTTCAAACAAAACCCCCAGAAAACAAATAAAAAGAATCCAAAATTTATTGTGTTTCCAAATCTCATGATTTTGGAGGGCCTGACTCATGATTTGTGAATGCTTGAAGTTGGCAGTTCTGAAACTAAAACAAGTTAAAGCAATTTCTGTATAGAAGCCGCAAGGCGCGGATGTTATTTTTAAGTTAAATTACCTTAATATAAAATGGGTTTAAACCGAATTAAGTTTGTTTTCCCGGGGTTTTTTTTTCCTTTTTTACTCATTAAAGCCAATGGGGTTAGTAACTTTGAAGATAGATAAGGGCTAGGGGTGTTTTCTTTGCCTTGCAACTTTATATTAAGGTTTTTAAGATCTCTGTTAAATAATGGAATACTCTTTCCAACTACTCTTTTCTAGTGTACCTGCTCTCAACATAAGGCTAGAACCAGCTAAAAAAATGTTACCCCATTCTCTTACACATCTGGATTCATAAGATCTTTAGACTCAAGCAATGGGAAATCAAAACAAACCAACAAAACCTCACAATCATTTAGGCTTTGCTCACAGGATGAATTCTCAGAGTAGCTCCATCTCCTACTCGTTTAAATAAGAGATACACTCATGATTCACAAGAGTGTCTTGTTGATGTTGAAGCCTATTAGCAGAAGCCATTTCTGTTTCCTTTATTTACAGGAATAACTTATTGGTGTTAATGAGACTAGTTTAGTGAGAAAGACATGAACATAGCTTTCAGGAACTGGTCTTAAAACGAAGGCTGTTTAATAATATGATGTCGTTTAGTTGTCCTTATTTCTTGGTGTTCATTGCTATGTGACTCCAGACATGCCTACTGCTTTTCTACTAATCCAATGTCTCTTCTGTCTAATGCTCTTAAATGTCTTGTTCTAACTTCCTAAGGACAGTGGGTAATAAGGTGAGGGAATTTAAAATTTTTTGCAGTTTTCTCATTGCGTTTTTTTTTCCTTTTCTTTCTTTTTATTTGCCCTTTTGCCTGCCATCTAGTCATTCCAGCCCACACATTTCTGAGTATGATGTGCAGTGAGCATTTTTGCAACATTTGTCATGTGAAAAACTGCATCACATTGGGAAAATACATTCAAATATATTTTGATCTGTCTTTTCGATATATAGCATATGTATACATAAATGTATATATCTATAGATACGCTCATTATGCCATTCCCATAATCATTTTCTCCATTTTGTGCTTCAGCCACTGTGATCAACTTGCATAGCTACAAGAACAAACTCATGACTGTTAACATCCTTTATCTATCTGGTATGGAACTGTTGTACAATAGGTGCAGATTCACTGCCCCTCAAACAAGGTATTCTTTATTGCTCTTACCAAATCTGCAGTGACCAAGATTTGGAAATTCACCCTGTTCCTAAAGTCTATCATAATTCATGTTAGAAATGATAACATTGTTATGACACCTGAGTGTTCCTCAGAGCCATGCTAAGCCACAACTCTCACAAGTCTAATACCTTTATTCAGTTTTATTGTTAAAATTCAGAGGTGTCATCAATAGCTGCATAAAGATCACATGCCAACAGAAAATGCCAGAGAGTAAAATTGATACCTGCTTATGAGACTGTTCTTGAGAGCAAAATGATTTTGCATGTTACAGTGATCTGTAATTCTAATAACTAAATGGTACATCCTGGAACAAAGTTGTTATTTTCTCTACCAACCTACTTATCTATCTACCCACCTACTGATCTGTCATATGAAGAGTTGTCTCATTTTTAGGAGAGACCTTCATGATTACATCAAAGACCCTCTATTTTATAGGAATCATAAAACTAACGCAACAAAATAATTTTTTGTGAATGTTTGTCTTTTTTATTTAAAAAAAGTAATATGAATCCATGGCAAGTCTACATCCTGGTATATTTCCATGCTGGGCTGAGATCTTGTCAGATTCTGCAAGCCAAGCATAGGAAATCTCACATAAAGAGAAGTAGATACATGTATTCCCACTGAATCTAAACTGAAATGATTAATTTGTGAAGCTTCGGTCTCTGATTCGATTTGGCGGCGATTCAGCCCGATTCGGTGGCCAAATCTCTAAATCTGAATCGAATCAAAGGACCCTTTAATCTCTCCAAATCGAATCGGAACCCTCCAAATTGATTTGGAGAGATTTGGGGAGATTCGGACATAGACACAGCTTTAAAAGTTTTTTCTACATACCTCTAGGTAGCAGGCGGCTTGTGAACACTGCGATGCTGGGGCAGATAAAGCATCCCAGAGGAGCGCAGGGGGGTCATCAGCACGCTTGGCAGCAGACCTGGAAGTGGACCAGAAGCACTTCCAGTTCACTTCCAGGTCTGCCAGGGAGCACGCAGGGTGGCCCCTCACCTCCCCGGCTTGGTGACTGGTGCCTCCTGAATCTGGGGGGGCAATCAGGCCCCCCCCCGTTGCTGATCACTGAGCTAAGGAGGAATGGGGGGGGGGGGGCCCACAGTGCTCCCCGGTGGACCCAGAAGCAGACCACAAGTACTTCCAGTCCACTTCCGGGTTCGCCACCAAGCACATGGAGGCCCCACCGCACCTCTATGGGACTCTCCATGCGCCCCAGCATCACAGCATTCACAAGCCGCACTAGTACCTTGAGGTATATAGAAAAAACTTTTAAAGCTGTGTCTATGTCCGAATCGCTGATTCTCTGAATCAGCATCAAACCTTCAGATTCAGATTCGGCTAAATCGAATCAGGGACAGTGAGCCGAATCAACAAATTGAATCATTTCCCTAATTTGGGCCAAATCAGAATCCGAATCGAATAGGGCCCGCTTCGCACACCCCTGTTAGTTTCATTGCGCTAAGAGCACACAAATGGTATGATTTTCATATTAATGTAGGAAAACTTGTATACAGCCAATAAATTATTTTATTCTAACTTTATATTCATCTAACACTATTGTAACAACATTGCCTGCTCCCAACCAAATCATGTAGTTCTGTCTGCTCTGCATTCATAGGGCCCTATGCTCCTGTATGAAGGATGAAGCTTCTTACTTTACTTACAAAACAACAGCACCTATTATATGCAGATAGGATAGAAAACTGAAGTCCTCTGTACTTATTGTTAAAAAAAATCTGATTGCGAGGGAGCTAATGTAAAAGCTGATATTATGCTGCAGTCTTTTATATTATAACTTGTTATCACCATGATAGTAATGGTCAGTGTTTCCATCCTGAAAATGCTTGTAACAGTGAATACATGCTCCTTGAAAATTATCAAATCTTTCTGCTGTACAATTTTTTTTAATCCAGCACTATTTAGTGCTGATAGACATAAGGCTACCTATTTTTTCTCCAATATTTTCAGTTGAATGTAGTGATCTGAGACCTTTCAAGACAATATCAGCACTATATAGATGTAACATTCTCTGTTATTAAATATTAAAGGTGAATTTTATCACTGAGGTTCACAGTGGTTTCCAGTTATGCTTAAAGGTCAAGCTGTCATGTAACAGAGTCTTTTAAGGAAAGATCCTTGTCACCCATTTAAATTAAGCAGTTCTGTTCTTTTGTTTTTATTTCCTTTGGCTCCATATTGAGTCAGGCTTGTGTTCCGGATACATTGAAAGAAATTTGCTAGCATTCATTGCCTACTCCTAATTAACATTTATTTCTTATTTCACTTAAATAGGCATCTCAGCCAAGCCCTGGTGGTCAGTCTACATGCAGCAGCGAACAGTCCCCCATCAGCAACTATTCCAACAATGGGATCGAGCTTAATTTGACAAGTGGAGGTAGTGTAGGAGACCTCAGTGTCATTGATGAAACCCCAATCATGGACTCTACCATTTCCACAGCAACCACAGCACTTGGCTTACAGGCCAGAAGGAATATGACAGGGACCAAATGGATGGAGCAAGTCAAATTAGAAAGGTTGAAACAAGTTAACGGAATGCTTCCACGACTGAACCCCATTCCACCTTCCAAAGCCCCAACCTTGCCACCTCTCATAGGAAATGGTGAGATATACATAATTGAAATAACCTTATTTTCATTCTTTAAAATAGTCAGTTTAATGCTTGTTTTTGTTATCCTTACACAAAAACAGTATGACCAATAACTGTTTAATTTACCTAGGAGCTTCCAGGCCAGCCCCTAAAGTCATCAATATATATGGATATTTTTCCCCTTTAAACTAAAATTTTACTACACTGGGGGAGACGGTTTTATACTCATATTTTATACTCCTGAAGGTAATAACTAGACTAGTGGTCTGATTATCATGCTTGAAGCCATAAAGTAAATTCCCAGCATCATTATAACTCTGCATCCATCCAAGGCAGATGGATTAGATATCATAGATTTTTTCTGTTGGATTCTTTCAAATGAAGTTTGAAACCTCAGATCCTAGTTGCTTTTTTGTCAACATTATAGACCATATTTTTAAAGGGGATTCAACATGTTTAATTGCACATGCACAAATAATGGTATATGAAGGTGGCACTCTAGAAAAATGCACATACAGCTTTAGTATTTGAGTTATATGGAGGTCATGTTGGACCTAAAGATTCCATAGCACTTTTTGTAAGAAATGGGTTGTGACTTTGTTCCCATGGCCAACTTATCTGCTCCCAACACTGCGGTGTAGCCTACTATGTATCATTTGATTGCCACTATCAACCTGAGACATTTTGTGACATTTTATATGTATGTGATTTATGCAGTGCATTCAAGAAAAGCAACTGTGTAAAAGTAATGCTGCTGATAATGCTATCTTATTTAAAGAAGGAAACTGGGAAAGATGTTTTGCAGTTGTTTTCAATAATATGCAAATATTTCAAGAATTCTTAAATATTTGCCCAAATAATATCTAGTTTGTATAATCTGCCATTTTGGTTTAGATTATGGATGCTGGTTCACTTATCTGTCTACTTCAGAAAGCTATAGAGGTTTCATAAGAAGATGAACTAATTGTGCCCTTTGCTAGTGGTAATGAGGGTAGCTCCATCAAAGGCAAAGGGACAACGCCAATTGACAATAACTGCACATCTCACCGAAGAATTTTTGTGCATATTTAGCCGTGTTCCATTTAATTAAGAAAATTATTTTGGTTTCATAGGATCATAAGGACATTTTTAAAGCATTTTACTTGCCTCAGACTATAAGCACTTCTTATAGTAATTCTTCCTACACCTGTACCACCAGGGTTCCCCTGCTTTACCTGTGGCATTATATTTTGTGGTTGTATCAGGCTTGACTGAGTAGTTTTGCTATTAGGTTAGACAGTGGATTTATATAAGACAGTTTGGATAGGAATGATCCTGCCTCAAGTTGTGGGGTTGGACTAGAGGACCTCTGGAGGTACCTTCCAGGCCTGCTTTTCTGTGATTCTTTATTAACCTCTGTTTGTTCCTCTGTGATTTTTACTTCCAGGTACCCAGTCAAACAGCAGCTGCAGTGTAGGAGGATCCATGACTATTCTACCCAACAGAAATGAACTTTCAAATACGGACATCACAGTGTTAAATATGTTGAACAGGAGGGACAGCAACACTAGCACAATCAGTTCGGCCTACTTGAGCAGCCGTAGGTCCTCTGGTATTTCACCTTGCTTTTCCAGTCGCAGATCCAGCGATGCTTCCCAAGCTGAGGGAAGGCCTCAGAACATGAGCGTTGCTGATTCCTATGACCCCATTTCAACTGATGCCTCCAGGCGCTCCAGCGAAGCAAGTCAGTGTGATGACCTTCCAAGTCTTCTCAGCCTCACACCAGCCCAGCAATACAGGCTGAAAGCTAAATATGCAGCAGCTACTGGTGGACCCCCACCAACCCCACTACCTAACATGGAGAGGATGAGCCTCAAAACAAGGATGGCACTGTTGGGTGACTGCAGGGAGTCTGGAGTATCTCCTCTGCCTCCAGTAAATGTTCCTCGAAGATGTAGTGATGGCGGGGCAAACAGTTATAGCAGGAGGCATTTTCTGTCTCATGATGTACTAGGAAATGGGACAAGGAGAGCCAGTGATCCTGTTAGAATGGTCTCTGACAACCTATCTCTTCCTAGAGTCCAGCGTTTCAACAGTCTAAATAGCTTTAATTCTCCTGCGTTGCCTCCATCCATGGAAAAGCGCAACTTTATTCTTCAGAACTATACCCGCTCTGATGGTGGCCTGTTCCGTAACTTCAACTCCCCTTGTCCTCCAAGTATCAGTGAGAACATTGCCCTGGAGGCTGCTACCATGGAAGCAGACGGTAGTCTAAATGATGAGGATCTTCTGCCAGATGATGTGGTTCAGTATTTGAATTCCCAGAACCAGGGCATATATGATCACTTGTCAAACAGTGCCCTGGATAGCAACAAAGTGCATCACAACTCAATGATCGGGAGCAACAATTTTGAGCAGGCCCCTCCACCAAACAGTCAACAGACCAGCTCCGAAGCAAACAAAAGTGACCTGCCAATTCAGTGGAATGAAGTAAGCTCAGGAAGTTCTGACTTGTCTCCTTCAAAACTAAAGTGTGGTCAGCGTTCTGCAGTCCAGCAAACTCGAGCCTTTGGACTATATAATAATATGATGGTCCAGCAGCAGAATCTGGAGAGAAATGGAATGGCCCAACAAAATGGTTATCAGAGTGCTACAGAAAGCAACAGCCTATACAGTTTACAGCAGAATATGATGATTAGTAACAACAATGGTAGTTTTTTCAACATGCAGTCCAATAGGCTGTATGGTGAAAGCATCAACAGGCAATCAGTAATTTCTGGGACAATGGACAATTCTTGCAGCATGGTGGCTCAAGGGCAGAAGTTGAGGAACAATAATTTGGCAGTGAATGGAAGCCAGCAAAATTTTGGTCACCCTCTGGTGACAGGCGAGCAATCCATGAGCATGGCTAATGGGATGCAGAGCAAGAATATGATAGAACAGGAATACTTGCAAAATCAACCAGGAGGAGAAGGCCTTCATTACCAGGGAGTCAGTCAGTCCAGTCAAATGATATTAGGTCAGGTTAGTCCTACCTCACAAATCAGCCTATATCAAGGGCCACAGAATTGTCCTCCAATGTCTCACAACATTGGTAACCAGCAGTCGGGTTTGTTGGTGACAAAGGGTTGTCAGCCATGTGCCAGCTATGGTGGCACCAGACGACAAAACATGTTGAGAAACACCCTGCCACAACAGCAAGGACATATAAGTGATGCAAACCAGATATACAGGGTAAATGGCATTAAGATGGAGATGCAAGGTCAATCACAACAGTTCTGCTCTAACATGCAGAATTACTCTGGTCAGTTATATGACCAAACCATGGGCTTTAGTCAGCAAGATATGAAAACAGGTTCTTTCTCCATTTTGGAAGCTAACTGCCTGCTGCAGGGGACTGGTACTGCAAACTCATCTGAGCTTCTTTCCCCAGGGGCTAACCAAGTGACAAGCACTGTTGACAGCATTGACGGCAACAGCCTAGAAGGGGTGCAGATTGATTTTGATGCTATCATAGATGATGGGGACCATGCCAGCTTAATTTCAGGAGCCCTGAGTCCGAGTATCATTCAGAATCTCTCACGCAATTCCTCCCGCCTCACCACTCCCAGAGCGTCTCTTACATTCCCAGCTATGCCCATAAGCACAACCAACATGGCTATTGGGGACATGAGTTCTTTATTGACCTCACTTGCAGAAGAAAGCAAGTTTCTTGCTGTTATGCAATAGACATGGGAAAAAAAACACTTAGGAGATAACAGATTAAAAAAAGTGACTCATATTTTTTAGTTGTGTATGTATTTTAGCAATCTCATCTCACCTAAATGGGATGTGTTTCAAGTATATTCCTTTTATGGAATAAGGACTTTGAAAACCCTAAAGTGTTCTAGGGAGAAACTGTCTTCCATTTCAGTTTTCAATCAGTATTGTTACATCCACTCCTCTTTGTCTTTCTCTCTCTCTCTGTCTTTCTCTCTCTCTTTTGAATGTCTGTATGCTTCTTTTCTTTTTTTCTTTTTTTCTTTTTTTTTTGGCTTTTTTTATCGTAAAACAATGTAAATGTGACGTGCATGGGGTTTTTTGGTTTGGTTTGGTTTGGCTTTTTTAAAAGGAAAGTCTAATTAAATGATTTTGCAATGTTCTGTTACAAAGAAGAAACACAGTCTCTTACAATTGCTGCCAATGTTTTTATTTCTTTTTTTAAAACATGGAGGCACAAAATAACCAGGCACAATATAAAGAAGATAATAAGTGAGTAAAGAAATCAGCTGTGAATTCCTGACAAATAGACAACAGGTTTACAAACAGATCTGCTTGTGATACTCCCAGTCTCTGTTTTCATAGCAGTTGACAATAGAAGTCTGATGCCCATGCAAATAAGAACTGAAGGACTTCACATATTTTTGTCCTGAACAAGTGTATGAGGGGTTGGTTTTTTTTAATGTTTGTGCATATTTATGCATGCACCTGTAGGGTACATCTGTATCTCTTCTCTGGCACTCTCGGGGATATTGGTGACGAACACTCCCCACTTGCTTGACCTGCACCTGGAAATGAGTGAGTGAAGCCTTTGTCAAGCACTCTGTTTCCAGTGTGCTTCACAGAGGTGACAGGGCTGCTTCATTGCCTCATTTCTGGGGTTGGCCAGTGTGGAGTGGGAGCAGATAAGCTGGATGTGCTTGACACCAGGGAGGACTGGGGAAACAAGAGAGTCATACCCAGGGAGTCCCTCACGGGCAGACCATGCACTGCCAACTATAGTACAAGAACTACTATGTCTCTTAAAAACTACTTTTGGGGGGCTAAAAACTCCTTTTGTGACCACAGCTCACTTGTTTGCATCATTTGATATTTTTTTGAGGGAGGTGCATTTTAAAATGACAAGAAAGCAAAAGTAAATGTCTATTTGCATATTTTTAACCCATCAATCAAATACCGCATTGATTTTCATAATTAAATAACCTATGAAATCAGATTTACCAGTGATTTAATGAGAGAGTGATCAGACTGTTAGTTCATTTGGCCTAAAAATCCACTCTAGACTATGCTGTCCATTTGGCTAGTGTAGCCCAAGAAACATTAATGTCTGGCCATAGTACACAAGGAAGTGGTGCCCATAGCATCATGTTCAGCCACGTTGAAATCTCCTGCCCAAATGATAAGGTTACCCAGTTACAGATGGCTTAACTGCAGCCACGTTTTGTTATGAGTCTGGAGTGAGAACTGAACCTACACCTCTAGATCTATGGCAGAACATCTTAACAGCTCCACCATGTCCCCTTGGAACAAAAAAAGTGGACTGAGTTTTCTTTAATCGAGTTCAAGCAGTTCTTACCTAGAGGTTTTACAAAGTAACTAATCCCCAAGCACAAAACAATTGCTTTTTCCTAATTATTTCTAATTTCTGTGGACTAACATACACATGGCCTGGCTACGTTGGTACAGCATATTTCAGGAAATATACTGCCATTGATGGTTACATCTTCAAAAAAATTAACTCTACTGTCATGTTGATCCATGAAGAAAAGATCCCTGCACTCACAATGAACTAATATGCTATGGCTGCAGGAACTGTACTGATCACAAGAGTCTCTCAGCCATTTCTAATTAACTGTGGTTTTTATCATTAAAAGCGGGGAGGAAATAAAGAAAAATCTGTTCCAGTGAAAGGGTTTATTTATAGCTAGAAAAGCAAGAGGAGTTATCACCCACTCACCTTTCAAGTCCATTCGTTGAGCCAGATTCTGCTGTCAGTTATACCAGCACAAATCTGGACAGACTCCATAAAGTTAATTGGAGTTGGTCCAAATTTAGAGGTGTAAATGAGTGCAGAATTCTCATAAGTGAATGAGTGTCTAGTTCTCATAAGAACATGTTGTAATGGGATCTCTTTTTGCTCCCACTATCAGAACTCCAGTGGGTACAGATTTAAGCCCTGAACTCTTGGAATGAGGGGATAATTTCACCCCTAGTCAGCAAATCCACGTATCTTATGTCCCACATATGTGTGATGCAGTCCATGTTTTGACTGTGTACGTAGAACTTAAATGCTGCATATGGCTGTGCATAAGTAAACTTCATTTATAAGAAACAGACATTTACCCAGACTTCAGAATGCAATTACACTTGAAATTGTAGCACAGACTGAGAATTGCAATATGATTTCTATGGACAAATATATATATTTATATATATATAATGTTACTTAACTGTAAACAGAGTACAATCAAAACCCAGTTGCTTTGGAGCCTAGTAGCTTAGGAGGATGTGGGAACAGAAGCTCATCCAGTCCCGTGTAGTGAGGTTGCTCCCCAAATCATTGGGCAACATAACAAGGGCTGGAACAGTGTAGGCTCGTTACAGCACCTGGCTGCTGTATTCTACTAAATTTGCATTCTTAAGATCAGTTTTTGACTTGGTGATCCCCCAAAACAAGAAATTATAATACTCCAGGAGGAACCAGACCTTTCATCAATAGCCTACATTCTTCATGGTCCAGATCCCACCTTCCTTGGCTTTCTTCACCTCTGTAATAAGCACTCAGTGGTTTGATTCTTTGATTTATTCCCTGTCTCCTGCCTCCTCCCTGCCCTGCTTTACTGTGTAATCCACATTGCATCACCTGCAATCCCAGTGCGAGCCATCTCCATGCTTCCTAGCCTTCACTGGGAATCAGTGTCAGGGGGAGCAGGCTGCACAAGGTGCCCAAAGGTTAAAAGCAATAGTTTTTCTTTCCTGCAGCGGAGGCACAGTGTGACTCTCGACTTGCTGCTTCTACTTTCTGCTGCCAGAAAATACCCTTCGTTCTCAGACTAGTATCCTGGATAGCCCTTAGATAGTAGATACCACCCAGTGTGATCAAGCTCAGCGTGGCCAGTTCTTTTAGGGCTATTTTCTCTGTAACAGCAAAGTTGCATCTCCAGATGCCATCTTATGTATTGGCTCAGGAGTTATAGTTCCATAATTTGAGCCTGCCAGTGCCTTTGGTGATCCCACAGCAGGTGTGACACAGTGACAGAATAGTTCTTTGGAAAGGGGACATTGACAGCAAAGCATTTTTGGTGTGTTGGGGAGGAGGGCTACAGTCTAGATCATACTGCCCTCCTCATTCCCATGAGTGACCTACAGGGTACAGTGAGAGGCCTTTTTACTTCCCTTGAGAGGTGATGGGGGGGGCGCAGTTTAATGCAATGGGTGACCTGCATTAAAGGTCAATACATGATACTGGCTATAAGCCTGTGAAAGGCATAGGGTTATGTGTTATGGATGGCTATGCACTCATCATCAGCTGATATTACCGATGACTTTAAGAAACCTGTTTGACTAAATACAAACAGTTGACTGTTTATTAAAACATCTACTAATGATTTCTAAGCTATTTATATGTTGACCTTTATTAAACAGTTTGACTAGATATGGGGGTAGATTTTCAGGGAGTGTATCACCAGAAAGCCAATCTATAAAAACTCTTGTTTAATTTTTCTTTGAATGTTAAGCTATGAGCTAGGAAGTTACTAATTAGGTCATGTTATAAATCAAATTGGAAAAGGAGTTCAGAGCTTCATACAGTTTAAGGTGGGGGGAAGGGACTGTTAGATCATTTAGTCTGACCCCGTCTTTTACGTGATATTACATTTCATCCAGTTAGTCCTGTACCAATAAATTGTATTTAACTAATGTGTCTCTTCCAGAAAAGCATTTTCTCCCCATTGTTCGAAGACATCATATTCCTTGTTTGAAGACATCTAATAACTAATCACCCCCACTGCTAAGAAGGTGTATCTAATTTCTAATTTGACGCAGTCTAGTTTCAGCTCCCAGCCACTGCTTCACGCTGTGTCTTTCTCGCTTGTTTAAAATGTTCTTTCATGCCCTGTATTCTCACAAGTCAAATTCACTCTTTTTTTTTGGTTGTGATGAAATAAACATATTAAGCTCTTCAACTCTCCTGCTGTATGGCATTTCCACTAGCCCTCTCATATTTAGTGGCTTGTTTCTGTGCTTTCTCCAGTTTTGCACCATTTTTGAGATGCAGACATAAGAAGTGGCTGTAGAATTCTCATGCCAGTCTTAAAACTGTGCCATATCCAGAAGTTAAAAAATAAAACAAAAAGAAAAAAAAACCCACTTCCACAGAAATAATTCAGTTGCTTATACATCAAGGATTCTTTCAGTTTTTATTGCCACACCACTCAGTATTACTTGCTGTGGAGGCTAGTTGCTTGAGTCCCAATACAGTTTTAATGGCAACCGCTGACACTAAGACTTGCGCTGGAATTCTAAACATCCTTGCATTCTTTAACATAGTTTTTGTGGTTTCTTCAAATCCCACCATTTTTTTGTCCTTTGAAACAAATCGTTCTCATTGTTAGCATCCATGAGACCTGCGTGTTTCAAAAGTGTTTTTCTTTTCACAAAATGGAAGTCCCACCCATATCTTCCTGTGTTTTTAATTGTATCCATTAGGTACAGTCAGCTGTATGAAAGATACTTGTATGGGTAGCTCAGTTGAATTCCAGAATAGGTTTGACGGTAAGCATTGTGGACTAGCACGTTCCAGCGGCTTGCGAGGATTTTTTCTCTCTCTTTAGGGAAGGTCCCAAAATGGTACTTGCATTACATGAAGGCTTTCTTCTTTCTTTTTTGCTTTATCCCTTTCTTTCAATGAGATGGACAGTTAGCTCACCCACATGTGTTACAGTATGGCTTGTCCTATTAAACAACAGTGTTTTATATTCTTGCAATGTATGTGCCTTATTTTGTGTTGATCCTATAAAAGAGAGGGACCAAGAAATATTGCCAAATTTTAGCTATAAGGCTGTGCTTACCATTCAGCTGATAGCACATACCACTGTTAATATAGTTTGAAATGTCTTGTAAACCTCTGGTATTCATGTGTTATTGTCCTTGAATTGATAGAATGTCCTTTATTGAAAAGTTACTGGTGTCAACCCTGCAGATGTGTAAGATAAAAAAGTGTTCATTTTTTTCACCTTTTTTTTTTAGATTTTTATAAAGCTTGTAATCCTTTTTTTAATGTGTAAATACATTTACGTACAGTAGGGATAGTGTTCGGATGTAATAGGCCTTAGTGGTCATCATTTGATAAACCTGCAGTTATGATCTGATGTTTCCCAAGCCTTAGATCGATCTGAAGGGTCTGTAGCACTGTGTACATACAAACTGTACTTCTGCTTTCAGAACCACTTAGCTCTTTTGTAACAAAGAAAAAAAATGTTTCTTACAGTGTCAATAAAAAAACAAAACCTTTGTACTTAGATTCTTTGCTTTGGCTTTTTTAAAATGACTCTGGTAAAGGAGGTGACATGGCAGCTGTTACTTGTCAGTTCAGTGCTTTATGGGAATATTGTTCCTGGAGTAATTTCAGATTATGGATCAGGAGGCAGATTCCTATGCTGTGTATTTCCTAAGATACCAGTTCTACCAAGCAGATGCGCTGCAGTGTAACCAATCATTTCTTCATTACATCTACACTTTAAAATACATAGATGGGATCAAATGCAATGCCCCTATTTGCGCCTCTGTCATAATACCTTTTTCAGTCCTTTTTTCCATAGTGCATAAGTGCTGCAGACCTCTCAGCCACAAGATATAGCTATGGTAGAATTCAGGTAGTTCTTAGACATGGACGATGATAACAACATTGTTCATGATAACAGGAAAATACTAAAAATAGTATTACATATTCATATAATGGTAGTGCTCATACAACTAGTCCATAACCCTGTCATTTCAGGCGCTATAAACATGGGGCATGTTGATGTCCTTATGTTGGGCAGTACTGTGCCAGCTTTACATTTCATAGACTAGACTTCCCTGTTGGCTACACAGAACAGACCTCTTAAGGCATCAATTCAGTGTGGTAATTCCTAGGCCAACCTGAAGCTGTTGGCAGTTTGCCCTGGGAGCAGGGAAGAATAGTAGCTGAAGTGTGAGGCTCTGTCTCTTCTCACCTAGTCCCTTGTGCCTGCTTGCACAAGTTGTGACAAGGCCCTACAGAGAAGTAGGAAGTGAGGAACCCACCTGTGCTTGATGAGTGCAGTCCTGACCAGGTAGGGAAGTCTAGTCTGATTTATAGTGAAAAAAGCTTTTATAGTGAAAAAAATGCGTCTCAATTCAGCTCTATCTGAGCTCATTGTGATTCCCTGATCCTACAGTGGCAGGCCCCTATGCTAGTCAAGAGGGATGTCTGGTCCAGTCACCAGCTCTTCTCCAGCAGGGAGTTTTCCTGTCAGAGGAATTCTCCACTGACCCTTCACAGGTCAAAGGCCATGCCTCTGTATCCTGCCTGCCAACTCTAAGTTCACCATCTAAATGAGCTCTGCCAACTCATGCCTGCTTGAGCATACCAGAGAGAGAGAAGGTAGACAGACTGGCACCAACACATAATGCACCTGAGCATTACCACTCCAGGGCCACACACAAGCTTTCTGAAGACAGCCTGAGTATGATCTTAGGGCATGCATTCAGCTCTGAGCTGCCTGCTCTACCACACTGCCAGTCTATGGTGGACACAAGTGAGTGGGTCTTCTGTTACTCGCAGTGGCCACAGAATCAGGAAGGAGGCTACATACATTGCTTTTGACGATGGCTGAGCAGCACAGAGTAAACTGGATGTATCATCAGAAGATCTGTGATATGGGATCCATTAGATCTGAGCCTGTGCAGGTCAGCAGTCCAACTCTTCAAAGAAATTTTGGCGGTGACTAAATGCCTTTTGAGAATTGGAGCCTGAATACTTCAGGCACTTGGATCAGCCCCATCATTATCAGATCTCGAGAGTTAAATGCATGTTTGCATGCTGTATCTGTCAAGCTTTAATTAGCAGCACCAAAGAAAGGGACAGGATTTTATGGGGAGCTTTGGCAATTACAAAAACAAAATCCCACTGAGCTTTTATTGCTTGGAAGCTGCCTGTTGCAAATCAGATTTATTGTTCAGAGGCAAATGGCAATCTGCAGAATGTATTTATTGATCTCACTTAAATATCAGAACTGATGAGCGTAAATTATACCCTGTGCGTTTGTGTGCATTAGAAAACAATTTATTGCAGATTTTCCCTTGACAAAACACAGCTGGGGCCTCCTGGGTGATCGCTTTCTGTAGCCCAGCTCCCATAAAAAAGGGGCCCTCTCAACACTTAGGTGACACCTGATCTGAAAGCTGCAGGCTTCATGTTTGAATGTCCCCCCTGCCTGTAAATCACTGATTTTACAAAAATAAGCAGGAGCCTCAGAAGACAGGAAGACCGGGGGTGGCTTGACAGAGCTTAAGAAGTTAGGGCAAGACTGAAGGTAACCCAGGGCTGTTGTTTTAAAATGAGGAGCAGAGCAGAAGGAGGTCTGTGCTAAGGGATGAGCTATAACCCCAGTTCCTACCTTCAAAGTGCTTGAGCACCGCATGACTCTCCTCACTCTCCACATTGCCAAAGCTAAAGCTGGTCCAGAAGTATTCAGCAGTTGGAAGGTGCTTCAGCTTTTCTTGAAGTCTTGGCTCTGGGGCTGGAAGGTGTGACCTGCTCACTTATAGTTTCATAGTAGTTAGGGGTCAGAAGGGACCTGAATAGGTCATCTAGTCTAACCCGCCCCCCCCCCCCACACACACACTGATTAGAGCACATGCTGGGATCACACGACCCCAGACTTCTTCCCCCCCGATTCATCAAAGGAGCTGTATGTGCCAAATGGGGACATCATTAGGGGTTGGTTGTGGTGCATGGGATAGGAAAATAGGTTGCAATTGGTGCATATAGGTGGGACTTACTGAGAAATAGGATGGACTACCTGGTGGCAGTGGTCAGCTACCAGAAGACTGTCCATGGTTATTGGAAAGGGACTATTCACTGGGTAGGTGGCTGCTGCCCATGGAAAACTGTTGTCTGGGGTGGGGGAGGGGGCAAGGATGATTTTCATTGCGGGCCAGGGAAGGTAGACTCCAGGAGGTGACTATAGCAGTCTGGGATGGAAATCAATGCCCACCGGGTTTCTCTGTTTCCTCCATGACACCCTGACTTATGATAACTACAGCCTGCACAGAAACTGCCTCCATTATCCTGCACTGCAAGAATCGGAAACCTGGTAACATGCTGCATGCCTCTGGTTCCTTTTCTTACAAGAGTGCACCTTTAATGCTTACACTGCCAGCCATTTATGTGTGGCAGTAGCCTACCTTACAGATGCTTCCACAAACTCACTTCCCTGTCCCTGTCCCTGTCCGTCTTGACATGCAGCTATCTGAGCACGGGTCCCTGGCTGTGGTGGACTTGGCTGCAAGTCCACCGGCTGTAAGGGGAGAGAAGTCCCATCTTGCAGTACAAAGATATAATTAAATACTTTCTCTAGTCTTAGTTGCAAACCTCAGTGGCAGAGGCTTGGGAGAGGCTCTCTGTCCTGAATTTCCTATACTCCACTTCCTTCATCACCATAATAAAGGTCCTCAGGACAATTTCCCTCAGTTGTTTGTAGGCTGGACTCAGGCTATCCAACATCAGCTCTTGTACAGAGTTTTCCTAGCCTGCCCTTGAAAGTTCTCCTGAATAAGAGCTGGCGGGGGGAAGGTTGGGGAGAAAACAGGGCTTGGCTACAGAAAAATACTGCATACAGCACACCATTTTCTTCTATTCCAAGACAGGATGTGTTTTGCCGGTGTCTCCTGACCGCAGGTTGTTCGCTTGCAGAAGTGGTCACAGGGCAAGGTGATGCCTCTAATGTTTTGTCAGCCAATCTCTAATTGTACACTACCCATAGTTGTCCTAGAGCTGGGGAGTGGGATTGCCTGCTGTGACAGCACATAGAAGTCAAGAAATGTGCGGGACCATCTGAACTGATTCTTAAACAAGAACTTGCACCCATTGTCCCAGGAGACTGGCAAAGGAGTCAGCAGGATATTTAAGCCTCTTGAAGTGAACTCTTATGCAAACCAGCCCTTCCAAGCAGGGTGGTTGCTGCTGAGATCATTTTTATGGCTGCAAAATAAAGTGTTTACACTTCACTATTGCCTCATGGACCATGGCATGTGGCAGGAGGGAGTTGCCAGGGTTGGGAGGAAGTAGGATAGAGAGAAATATAAGGGTCACTCCTATCTTCTTGTTGGTTTTCCTGTTTCAGAATCACTGGTTGCTAGATGGTTGCTAGTGATGCCCTCACACTTTGGAGGGGGAGGAGGGCAGGGGGATGGAGGTATGTCTGTAGGGGAAGAAGCAATGATATGTTGATTTGGGGTACAGGACAAAAGGGCTATCTAGCTATCCACACACACACACACACATATATATGCTTACATATATATTTGGATAACCATATCTTTGAGCATCTCTCTAGGTGGGGGTCTGTAATTCAATAGTCCAGGGATTGAAAACATATCAGGCCCAAGAGCCCTGCAAGCACCCTGGACCATCCCTGTGTGCTGTATGCCACAGACATGCCAGATCCAGCTCTATGCACAGTGCAGCCCAGCTCTGCTCTTGTGCACCATGTACAGAAAGGATACAGAGATGCCTTGTTCAGCAACCTCTGTATGGTTGGGGAGCACCAGGGATCAGTTGAGACTCTCGTTCATCTGAAACATTAACTACAGCTTAGCCTGCTCTGTGTGGTATGGTGGGTATGTTTTCTTAGGCGTACTCACATCTACATTGATAACCTCTCCATTGGTAAGCTAACATTTATGTACGTGAAAATAAAACCCTGCAGAAATGATAGCGAAGCCCACAGCAGTGTTAGGCAGTGGCAACCTGACACTAGCATCATTGGCATGGCACATCACCCCAGGGTACCAGAGGACAATGGTGTGTTGAGTTATGTAAAGGGCAAAAAATGGGAAACAGTACTATGAGGACAGGACCCATAGGTGTCTGTGTGGCCTCTGGCAGTACAGTCTGTAAGTGCTTCTGAGGATGGGGGCCACATCTTGGGTACAAGACTGTTGGGTGAGTTGTGCTCCAGAACATAGGAACATTACCAGCAGATCAAGGGAAGTGATGATTCCTTTCTATTCGGGACTAGTGAGGCCACATCTGGAGTAGTGTGTTCAGTTTTGGGGCCCCCACTACAGAAAGGATGTGGACAAATTTGGGAGAGTCCAGCAGAGGGCAACAAAAATGATGAGGGGACTGGGGCACATGACTTCTGAGAAGTGGTGGAGGGAACTGGGCTTATTTAGTCTGGAGAAGAGAAGACTGAGGAGGGATTTAATAACTCTTCAATTACCTGAAGGGAGGTTCCAGAGAGGATGGAGCTGGACTGTTCTCAGTGGTAGCAG